TCAAGGCATTTGAAGGAGTGTCTTTAAATCTTTAAATCTCTTTAAATCATTAATTGGCCACTAAACTAACCAAGTAGAGACTTCAATGACCACACATAACAAAGAATACAGACTTTACAGAATTAATTAAGGAAAGTTCCTAAACAAATAAACAGCAACAACAAAGCTGTTACCGAAAGCTCAGCACTTGTCCTGGAGGCCACATCAGAAGGAGAACAAGTGGTTTGAGGAGCCAAAGGAGGAAAATGGTACACTGTCCTCTCAAAATCCAAATTCCTGTACTTGAGCAGAAACATGGAGCTTTTAAAGGGAGGGCCCTCAGTTCTAGGCTATTGTCATTGAACTACAGTTAATGATTCTAATCTGTCCTCTGCTGAAGATAAAGCCTGTGACCTCTGCCCACCTGGGAGGCCCACCCAGACCTCTGCTGGCCTACAGTTCAGCTGAGCCATCTCCTGTAACACAAAGAACAAAAGACATTCCCCTGCCCCTCCCAACCACCTGCCTGAGGCAGGGATGCAGGCCTCAGTTTCCAAAAAGAGTGGGGGAAGTTTTAAAGAGACAGAAAACATCTTTTGCTGGGTTTTTTTTTCCCCAGGCCATTCCCTCTGTTACAAATCCAGGGATGGGGAGTATCTGATTTCTTGAGTTATCAAGTTATATTGTTACAGCAGAGTTGACCGGGAATAGACCGAGAGGCACACGGAAGTTATAGCAAAAACAGGTTTTATTTATGCCGGCTGGCAAGGCTCAGAAGGGATTTTCCTCTCCCAAATTCTGAGCCCGGAACAAAGAACGTAGCAGTCTTTTATACATTTTGCTTAGGGAGGAAGTGGGGCACGGTTACAACGGGGTTAACTTTAGTGGGGCAGAGTCCTAAGCTACTTCAGTGCTTGGTATGCTAATTGCTACATGCGATTTATGAGAGCACACCGGGGAAGGGTTGCAGGGGAGGAAGCCCAGTAGTGGAATTCTCCAATTTCCACTTCAGTGGAATTCTCCAATTTTCCACTTTAATATTATTTAAAATGTCCAGTTTTCAACAAAAATTACAAGATATGCAAAGAAACAAAGCCCATAACCCCGGGGGGGAGGAAAAAAAAGCAGTAAATAGAAACTTCTGAGGAAGCCGAGACATCGGAGTTACTTTTGTTTGTTGGTTTGTTTGTAGACAGAGTGCAGTGGCATCATCATAGTTCACTGCAACCTCAAACTCC